GGGGGGAGGGGGGTCTAAGATTTTGTTACGGTTCAAACAAGGAAATTTTTTTTTCATACAAATTTTGTTACGAGTGGGGGGGGGGTCTAAAAAGTCATTTTTTCGCGTTACGTAATAAGTGAACAGCCCCTTATCATTTTAAGTCACTACCCAAATGCTTCATTTGATAGATTTCGATCAAATGTAACAAAATAGCTCAATATTGATCCAAAAACATAGCAAATTTCCTCAGATCTTCAATTTTTAAAAAAGATTTCGTGGAGCAAACTTACAAAATGATTCAAAACTAAATACTTTTTAGACAACAAGCCATAAAACCATACAAAACATCCATTTTAACCACAGCTCAGCACCGCATAAGTGAAATTATAAATTTAAATTACAATAATTTGCTGAATTTTTAGTTTTCCTTTCGTTTAGATTTTTCATTAAAAATCAATAAAGTATTAGAAAAGAAAGGAGGAACGAGCATCAGAATGTGTATCACAATCACATCTGTCACCATTCTACTGTATCTTGTTGTTGTGGGTGAAACATCAGCTTGTAATGTCAGATTCATATTTTTAATAAAGTGCTTTATTTCTTTACCAATGTGGTTGAATGAATTTTTATATTTTTTCTCATTCCTTCCTGTTTCTTTAAAACAAACTCAAAATTGATACACAATTTGCTATGTTTTTTTTTCACTACAATGCTGTCATGTTATGTGGGGTTGTTAAGCAGTCATCGTAATATGCAAGCGGTGAAATTTTTCAGTCTCTTTTTTTTTCACGAATGAACAGCAAAATCAGACCGCACTTACAATAAATCTCATTTTTATCTTTGTTACAAAAATATATATAAAATAAAAAATAATTTTCTACGCAAATAAAAACAAGGAAGAGGAAAAAATAATTTTTATTCAAGGATATTTCACTATTGAGGATTTATTAGTTATCTTGAGTTGCTTTGAGCGGCTTTTTAGTGCTGGCTGCTGCTGTTGAATAATTACCTTGTCTCGATTGATTTACATGTTTTGTGTTTTAAGCAGTTTTAAGTCGGCTTTTTATGAATATTCGTGTGAGATTTTTTTATTATGAAATAAAAATTTGGCTGGTTAGATGTGCAGGGAGTCATTCATAAATGATATGGATTAAGAAATGGGATTTTGGAGCTGCAGGGTGGTGCACTAAGGTACATTCTGGTCATACTAAAGCAGTAGATTTGATCAAGTCAATTTGTTCTTGAAAAAGAAAATTGCGATCCTGAATAAGAAATTCAAGTGAGCCCTCCTTGACTCTCCTTTTAATTCCACACACTATTGCTCATTGAGATAAGTTGATTTGATTTTCTATTTTTTTCGTTCCAACAATAATAATAAATATTCAGATTTATATGCATTTCACAAAGTGCGTTTGATATTCATACAAACAATTCGTCACGGATTTTCATACAGCGAGGGTGCTTCATATCCCGCAAAACAGTCTACAAATTTTGATGCTCGATGTGGAAATTTTTCCCACTTTTAATTTAACAAATTGATAATTTAATTATAAAACTGAAATCGAGAGAAAATTCGACAAATCCCTTTGCATGTATGTTTATTGTAAGTGGGAAGTAAGAAGAATTGAATATTTTGCTTCTCTTTCTACACTCATTTCATTTCGATGATTAACCAAACCCTTTTCCTATTCGATATAATATGAAAAAGTAAATTTCAGTGGTTGCCGTGTGGTAATACAAGAAGAATAAGAAGGAAATTTATATAAAAAAAAAAACATCATAGGGAGGATCTTTAATGCGATTTCATGTTTCTCTTCAAACATCTATAAAATCCAATAAAACATTATTTGCAATGGGTAAGAATCTAATTGAAATATTTTTTTATTGAGGTATATTAACTTCTTGCATACACCAGAAGATGTCACCGGGTTGAATTGGAAGGGATTTTCTTTTTCTTTCGGAAGGGACCCTTCGATAATTTTATTAGATATTGTGGAAGCATATGAGTTTATGGTTTATGTCCCGATCTGTGTATTGCGGAATTTTCTACTTCTTATTGGAAATTTTGGTTAAATAGGGTTTGCTATAAAAACTTAATATTATTTGCTATAAGAGAAGCTATTGAAGATCTTAAAGTTTGGCGCGAAAGAATTCAAAATCAAAAAGTTTGTTATGAATTTTTAAAATGTGAATACAGGATGTAGTCATATAAAAGCTGGACACTTATGGTATCTCTTAATAAATGTTGGTGCTTCTCAGGCTCGTAGCCAGGGGGGTAACGACCCCTTACGTTAACGAAAAGTTCTTCCTTTTGCTTCTTGAATGGACTTATTATCCAATTTCGTTCATTAAGTGAGATTCGAACTTATCTCTTCCGAAAAGTACTTCTAAAAACCTTTCTAGATCTTATCCCGTACACTACAAGTTGGTTAAACGATCAGAAATCCGACACAAAGTCAGTTTAACTCTCAAATGGCGATGGATTCGCCGGTTTGACTTTGGATTTGTTTTATGAGGGGGGGGGGGGGTGTATATTTTTTTAAGTTTTTCATAAAAACTCTAGCAAAATGAAGAAATTTCTCAAGACGAATGGGGATTTTCCCCCCAAATCCCCCACCCCCTTGCTTCGCGCCTGTGATCAATTAACCGATGTTTGCTATTCGTGTTACCTGATACGTTCAATTCATGTTCGACAGACTTATCGAAAGTCTAGGGGTGTTTTAATATGCACGTTCGAAAAATTTAAATTTGAAAAACCGTTACAATTTTTGGTCATTTTATTCAAGTTTTTGATAGTTTTGAAAACAAATTTAGCTATATTATGCTTATTATCAAATGATAAAATAATATTTTCATCTAAAATTCATGAAAAAATTGCTTAATTTAAGTTTTTAATATTTCCTAATTTTCGAAAATTTCGAACTGCAGGGTATGAAACTTCGAATTTTGCATGGCAGACAGACAAAGAAGACATTTTTACAAGTGTTCTTGGAAACTGTAACGGTCGAAACTCTTGAATTGTTCGTATCAGCGTGTTACTTGCACATACCTTTACACTTTTTATGTCGAAAATTTTGATTTTTCGACTCGAAATCAATTGTTTAAATCTTTCCTTTAACCCTCCTCTTTCTCACATCCCCGTCACTTAATAATTAAAAGACCCCAAAAATCCTCTATCAGAGGACAGTCTTCTATTTTTTTCATTTTTCAATAATGAATTGTTCTAATTCGTCCAGAAAACCAATAAAATTGGATACCCATGGGATGTCCTCTATTTTACTTTCAAGTCCGTCCTATATTCTTTCAAAAAAATATTTGGTCACCCTACATAACACCTACAATCCCATCACATCACTCATGCACTCCTCGGACCATCCATACCTTCATGCCTACAAGAGATACATCTAAGCTATAAAAATCTAAAATATAAAAAAAAAATACTTTTATGTGCAGCTATGTTTTTGTTAATTTCTCCCGTCTGATTAATTAGTGGACACAACGGTCACAAATTAATAGCCAGTTGAAATAGCATATTTAGGTGTGTTAGAATATTTACGACCAATACTTGTTGTCTCATTGGGTGATTATTAAGCCACCAACATATTTTACATAATGTCCTGAAAATGGTTTTATGGCATTTTAGCATACACGTATGAATAAATGTTTATGTATACCTTCACATGCTGATGATGATGATGACGATGGAAATGTTGATCATGATGGTTGTCAATATTATTAATGTTTCATTATAAAATGATGAACATAAATGAAAATAAAAAGTCTTTTTTTATGATTGCATGATTATATGTCCGAAAAAAATGTTGTTTTTATGCTTTTAAATACTTTTATGGCATATATCCATGAAAAATTGTAATTCAATTTCTGTTTAAACATTAAAATGTGCAACAATTTTTTTATTTATTATATTTTCTCCTTTTTATCTTCTTTATTCAGCCTTTTATTGTGGTGTAAATTGAAAGGAAATGGGAAATGAATTAAAAATCAGTTAGGACTGTTAAAATTATTTTCGGATTTAATGGGAATTAATTTTTTGGAAATTTTATTCGCTATAAAAAAATGTTTTAAAACTTTTATGATGAATTTTTTGATTTGATTTTGTGTTGGAATATGATTTATAGGTTAAGTTTTAATTAGAAAAATGTTTGATGTCTGTTGTCTGATAAAGCTTTACTCCGAGCGACACATGGCTCCATTTGTCAGCTAGCGACACATGTTTTTAATTCTAAAGCTCCTCAAAATTGACAAATTTTCAAAAATTGATAAATTTGAATAATCATTTTACATTTATTAATTCAAAAAACCCTTAATAAAAAAAAATCAATTCAATCCTTCCCCAATCATCAGCAAAAACAACAACAACAATCTTCAGTCCTTCATGTCGATCACAAAAAAGACCTTACATTCATGTTGTGACAAGAAGAATTTCATCAAGGACATTTAATAGCTAATTTGATAGCAGAATGTAGAAAATAAAATGTGCAGATCGAAGATAGATTTTGAATTTGACAATGTAGAAATTAAAATGAAGCAAGTATCCCGTAAGGCACACGCTGGCGTGGCGCCAGCCTGGGGACAGCGTCAACCTGGCACGGATCAATCGGTGCCGGTGTGAATTTAGCACCGTGCCGGCAACGTGATAGTCTTCATACTGGATTTTCGGCCATTTTCTACATACACAGCACCGGCGTTGATGTTTTTTCACACCGGTACGAATTTGGCCCGGTTTCGGTGTGAAGCTGGCACCGTGCCAGCTATGAGACGGTATCAATGCTGTTTTTATATTGTGGACACCGGCATGCTTTATATTTGACGCCAGCACGAATTCGGTACCTGTAAAAAATTGCGCTGAAATTGCGCCAAATTATATACAAAAAACAATTAAAATTTAACAAAAATAATTTTCCTTTATTGGTCTTATTTCAAAATATCAAAAAATTGCAAATAACAAATTAACCTTTCATAATTGTTTATTCACATTCCTGATTTTTCATGGTATTTTATTGCGTTCCCTGACTTTCGTTATCTAATGTGTTCAGTTTCTTATTTCTTGGAGTAGCATGAATGGATTTGAAAAACTTTTGAATGGAGCTTTCAGTCTCGATCGTGCTAACAAATGGCTTTTCGTTCATATTTTTTAAAATCTTATTGCAGATAAGAAAAATAAAGCGGATGTGGTTTTTATATTTATCGAAACCCACTGTCACTACAAAAAAAAAGTTTTTAATATTAATACAACTTGTAATTAAATTAACTTTTTTTATACTCACATTTAACTGAAGCCCAAATTAATGATTTGGCAAAATTTATATCCAAGTACATCTTCAAAAAACTATGGACAAGACCATTTTGTACAGTGAAATTTTTATTTGGACTTACTACTGAAGCTGTGTAGAAATTAAACTATAATAAAAGTATTTTTCATTAATTAATCATTATTTTTAAATTTCAAATCTTCATCTATACCAGAGGCCGATTTTTTCGGCTTAACTCAATTTTTGATTTTTTTGATAGAAAAAAGCCATTTAACACCCATTTCAAGTATTTAAATTGAACTTTACATGCTTTACTATGATTCTGTGAAATATTTTTTCAGCATGTAGCTATAATGAGCTCAGAATTTCAAGTTAAAGAATGTTAAGCCGAAATTTAAGCCGAGCTTACTATAGCTACATGCTGACAAAATATTACAAAGAATCATAGTAAAGCATGTAAAGTTCAATTTAAATACTTAAAATGGGCCCATATGGGTGTTAAATGGCTTTTTTCTATCAAAAAAATCAAAAATTGAGTTAAGCCGAAAAAATCGGCTTCGATCTCTGATCTATACTGACCATGGCTTTGTAATCATTTAAGAATGATTCGTTCATCAATCCAAGTTTTTCCTCCATTTCATTTAATTCTTCAGTCGTTGATATGATTGGCGGTTTATATGTAATGTCTAAGGAATCATTTCTTTGTGCAGCCAAATCATTTTTAAGTGATTTGAATTCATCTCGCACCATTTCCATAAAATTAGTCATCAAATTCACTTGATGCTGTTGAGTAATCTTTATATTTTGAATTTCATTTATCAAGTAATCCAGTGATTCCTTTGATACCAAAACCATGTTTCCTTGTTGTGTATGCTGGACTTGTCTTGGCGAAAACGAATCGAATCGAAATGGTGTTTCCGAGAATACATCCTAAATAAAGTAAAAAAAAAAAATGGAAAAATCAAGCGAAATTCTTAAAATTTTCGAAACCAGGTAATTTTTGTCTTTTGAAAAACTCACATCATTGTCAATTATACTTGATTGATTAATTGAATTAGGGACAACTTGGCTTAATAAGGTTTCATCAAGAGCTTCCTCGTCAAATCCTTCATTGAAGTCATATTCCTCTAATGATTCAGTATCGTTCAATTTAATCTTCTTGTTTTGCTGTTTTTCCTCTACATCGGAATTTAAAAATTGAATTTTTTTCTCAATGAAATCGTTAGCTTCTTTTAAATCTGTTATAAAAAATAATATCAAAATTTTAATTAAATTCATTTTTAAAATATAAATATATTTTTACCTTGAATGTCATTCAATTGAACAAAAATCTCTTCGTGCTTCCAATTTTTCTTAACGCTAGTACCTTTTTCAAGGTACTTATTCATTTTGGCTGGAGCAGGATAATATGCATAAATTTTTCCTTCCTCATCTACTTCACTTAGCCATATTTTACGTATCACGTAAAATGCATTCTGTTTATTCTTTACAACAGTGAACATGATTATCGCTTTCTAAATCAAGAATTTTTTATAAGTAAGTAAGCAAATAAGCAACTAACTAGGTTAATGATTTTTTTCCATAATCTATTCAGAACTATTCAATGTTTTGATATAAGTTTTACATTTTTTTAAGTTTTAAGTAAAATTACTTATTGGTGCAAAAAAAAGACTGTCTTCCTCTGTAATCATACACATTAGTTTTCTTTCAATCTGTGTCATGTCAATCAAAAACTTTTCACCTTCATATTGAGTGGAAGCATGAAAAAAATTCAGTTTTGAAGCAACTATTGGCTTTAAAAAGAAGTCTTCAATAATTTTCAATCTACGGCATAAAAACTGGCACTTTTCAAAATTAACAATCTTTAAAATAACAATTAAATCTTTTTGTTTTGTTAAAAAGAATCTATCTCTACAATCCTTTGTGTCAATTCGAATGCCTTGATAGTACAAAAACGTTTTGCCCTTTTTACTTAAATTTTTTTGAGGCACTAAATTGTTTGGGCAATTAAAGTATTCTGTTATGCGTCTAAACATTTGACTTAATGGTAATTTAGGGCCATGAACTAAATTCTTTATAGGGGTCATGTACGATTCAAATTCCCAGGTTGAGAATTTGTCACACGGCTGTTGCTGAATAATCACTTCGTCTGCAAAATGAGTGGATTGATGTACCATTGGTACGTATAAATGGTCTCCATATAAAATGGCAATTAATGAATTGAACTTACTGAGCATTTCATGTGCGATTCGATTGTACTTAATACAAATTTCTGGGCTACATAAAATTGAAAAAGAACATGTAAGAAGCAAAAAATGCTGATAAAAAGACTGTGGTATTGTGTGTTTAAATATCAAAGGTGCAATTTTTAACAAAATTATTCGCCATTCATGTCCTTTAAAACTTGAGATATCGTTAATATTACGAAAAGTTCGATGAATTTCAGTCGGCAAAGTTAAATTAATTTTGTCTAATATTTCATCAATTTTACTACGTGACTTTGGAAATAAGGGTTTATCTGGACCAATTAACTTCCTAAACAATCTTCGGGTAGTTCCTAAACAAATTACATGTAAAAAGTCGAGTGGGAATTGTGATATCGTATTAATGCATAGTTCTCTCTCAACTAAAGAATCTCTCACATGAAATTTCAAATCTGTCCTGTCTTTAAACATTTGATCTGTTCGTTTGACATCACTTTTTTTAAACAACATTCTTCCATCTTCTCTACATCCATTACACAAACAACGAACGCATGACCTGTAACCTGCATGACCAATAATTCCCAATGTTGAAGCTCTAGCGGGAGTGTCCAAGCAAAAGTTATTTAATTTTACAGTTACACAATTTATAACAATTCCTGTGTCTAAAATGGCTTTAAGCTCATATACAAATTCTGATAAAAAATCATCAAAATCATCAGGTTTTCTAGGCCCATTATAAAGTCCAATTGGAATTATTGAATTTTCGTAACCATTAATTCTGGCAAGAATGACCCAAAAAGTTTTATTCTTAGAAGTTTGATGAACACTAACTCCATCGATAAATATATCAAGCTTTACTATGGAATTTTTTAACTCTAATTGCCTTATTTTGAAAATTATTCCGGATTTTAATCCAAAGTGGACGTATTGGCCAGGCATAACATTTCTTACATTCGTTATTCTTGGTGTTTCAAGGATTGTGCGATAATCAAGTGGAATTTTTGGGAAGATAGGTTTCAATAATTTTAAAATGTCATTAATTGCAGTGCACGGAATTTTTTTTCTCAATGCTATAATACGGAGGCCACTTACAATATGATTTACAGCTTCACTATCCTTAACTTTTGTCTCAACTAATAATTTTTTTTTAATAAGATCGGTTTTTTCATTTATTAATTTAGTATTACTGTCAGTTATAAAAAGAGAATTAAGTTGACTTTCAGATCTGACTCTAAGTTCGTTAACTTTTTTTATTGAAAATTTTGTGCAATTATCTATGCAAAGACTATCCGCATCTTTTTTTGATATTTCTAATGGCTTATCGGAATTATATTCTATATTATTTTTTGACTCTATTGAATTGTTTTCATTAATGAAAATTTGAGTACACACGGATTTTTCAAAAGATTTTTTAGATTCATTTTTTTTAACTTTTGTGCCGATGTATTTAGATTTGAAATGTTTGTTGCTAACTTGTGACATAAGTTTTTTATTTCTCCCCATTGTCAGCTTACTTTATATTATGCACCAATAAATAAATTTACTCACATCATTAAAATTTTTACTATAACTATAGACTTGCTGGATTATCTTAGGTATACCAAGGTCCAAACAGTCCGAAAATCCAGAAAAGATATCTAAAATTAAAAAAAAATATATTTAACTTTTCGTCCACACTTGTTCATTAGTCTCACGGCACTAATGTGGCACGGATCAAGAACAACGCCAAAAGGACGCTGCAAAAAATTTAATTTTTTCAAATGAAAAAAATCCACATAATTAAAACCAAAACTTACTTAATTGAACAGCAAATAGAACCAAAAGAGTTTATCAATATGGTTTGACGTCCAAACAGTCCGAAAATCCAGTAAAAATCTCTAAATTCGGAATATAATATTTAAGTTTTTGTCCACACTTGTTTAATAGTCTCACGGCACTAATGTGGCACGGATCAAGAACAACGCCAAAAGGACGCTGCAAAAAATTTAATTTTTTCAAATGAAAAAAATCCACTTAATTAAAACCAAAACTTACTTAATTGAACAGCAAATGGAACCAAAAGAGTTTACCAATATGGTTTGACGTCCAAACAGGCCGAAAATCCAGTAAAAATCTCTAAATTCGGAATATAATATTTAAGTTTTTGTCCACACTTGTTTAATAGTCTCACGGCACTAATGTGGCACGGATCAAGAACAACGCCAAAAGGACGCTGCAAAAAATTTAATTTTTTCAAATGAAAAAAATCCACTTAATTAAAACCAAAACTTACTTAATTGAACAGCAAATGGAACCAAAAAAGTATATTAATATGGTTTGACGTCCGAACGGGCCGAAAAATTAATGGCTGAATGAGAAATGTTGTTTTTTAAAGCACTTATATTTTTTCAATTTATTAGCACTTTATTTTCGTGTCAAAAAATAAAAAAAAGATTTCATTACGGCATGAACTTGTCACAATTTTTAAAACATGCCGGTGCCATGCCAAAATGATTCCAGCGCGGTGTTGGATTGAATCCGCAGCACAAATTTGATTTGGTGCTTGGCGTACTCCGTATTGACACCGCTTTTCGGCACGCTGTGCTTTCCGGGTATATTGAGAAAGGTACGAAAAAAGGATTACTTTCGTTTCTGTAAGATTTCTTATTGAATCTTACCCTTTTTTTGTGCTGCTCTCATTTCTTTACTTTATGTCAATAGATTGAATCAAAAGACCGTAACAAACAAAAGGCATTTTGACAATGAATGGGCACATTATTGTCAGGCATGTTGAGTAAGAAGATATGTGAAATTGTCACCCACTTTTAAACCATTTATTTTTCCACTCTTCAAAATGTTAGACATTCAAAAGAAGTTTATGCAAAAAAATGTGTGTAATGTGATGAGAGTATATGGCACATACTTATGCTTATATGTATATATATTTATGCGTATCCATTGAGCCAAAGAGGGAGAAAAAGAGTGAAATTTCCTTTTATGAAGTGATAACCATCTGAAAGCAGACATGTCATTTATTTTGTGTTCCTTCTCTCGATTCCAAGTTTTGAAACTGGTATTGATGTTGTCACGTGTTACTGACTAGTGCGCATTATTTTTCATACACAAATATTTGAATAACTGTCAAAAAATATTTGAAAAATAGCTGTCAAAAATATTTAAAATTGAGAAGTAGCTAAGCGCTGAGTGGGCAGACAGACAGACAAAATGCTGACAACAGCATCTTAATCTTTGAAAAAGTGCTCCAAAAGAAGCCCAAGAATAAAGAAAGATGCGAAGAAAAGGAAGAAAGATTCACATTTTATGTTAAACCATCAACTCAATTGACATTTATTTCGCTTCGGGACAGGATCATCGTGATGATGCTCACTTTCTTTTTTACATAACATACAACAAAATATTTTATTGTTGTTCTTCGGTTTGTGTTAAACATGAAATTTCATTTCTATTTCATTTATAACATTGACGATTGAAAGGAGGAAGTCAGTCGTTCATTTTTGTAAAATAGTTTGTATTGACATTCTTACATGTCACCTTTTTTTTTGCCTGCCTGTTCCTGAGGAAATGAATGCGAATGAGAATTTTCAACATTATTTGGAGAAACAACAAAAAAAGGAAACCAATAAATCGGATATATCGTTTGTGATAAGACGACCCCCATTCAATTGAAAAAACATTCGGAGCCGAAATTGGCTTCATAAATATCCCATTTCAATGTTTATTAATTTTTTTCTCCTTCTTTTTTCCACTGAAAATTGCTTTCATCCTGTAACCTTTTCCTCATCGAGAATCTTTTCCACAAAAAAATGTATATAAAAATGCAAAAGGTTATCATTAAATCAAAAAAGAAGTTGGGAAGAAGAAAGGGCCAAAGATAGAGTGAATCTCTTTTGACCGGAAATATTTCATAGACATTTAAATTTTTATTTTTTCCGGGATTTCAATTTTCCAAAAGGTTTAAAAATTTCATTTGTGTTTATTTTATAGGCAGACATCAATAATATTATGGGCAATTTCTTTTCACATTCAATCGTGAAATTGGCTACTGTATTAAGATATACAGCTACTGAATTAATTGATTTAATCCAGATTAAATGGATGTGCAAGTTTTGGGATGAATTTAAGTTTATATAAAAAATTTAAGAATTCAAAAATTATTTTGAACCTTTAAAAATTGTATTTATGGTTCAAAAGTTGAGTTTGAAGATTAGAAACTTAATCCAAGGAGCAGTCGTTTAACTTTGAGTTCAAAAAGTGAATATTAGGTTTATAAATTGAACCTAAAGGTCAAAAAATTGAAC